GGACGCAGGAAGCAGCTGTGCCCAGCTGTGTCACACGTGACAGGAGCAGTCTGCTCCATGAGAAACCAGTACGTTCAAACCTTCTGATTCCCTGCGACTACAAACGACATTGCACACCAAGAATTGTAAACGCGTAAGCGTGTGCAAGGATTAGGAATATTGCATGGATCACGTCAACGTCGCGATTTCATTCCTTTGATTAAGTAGATGTTTTATAAACTGGTAAAGCGGAGAAATGAAGCCGTGGTCACACAGGCCCGTTATTGAATTGAATACTGTACGCGAGAAGTGCGAAATTATTTAAGGGTAAGACTGCGGCGTAAGAATACTCTAACCCTGAAGCCGGGAGGCGCGCCGCTCCGGCTGGGACAGCGCCCGGGGGGGTCCCCTGCGCTCCCCGGAAAGCAGAGCTGGACTGCAGGGGAGAAACGGGAGACCCGTCGGCACCACGTGTCTATTTGCGAGACGGCAGAGGCCACGAAGAAAGATCCAGTATATAATGTCAATGCGCTGTTAGCTGCTAGACGTGAGCGCCGAGGAGGGGCATGGACACGCCGCAGTCACGCCGTGCCCACGGGAGGGACACGGGTGACGTGACTGGCGGGACAGGTGCCGCTCGGGCAGATTGGGGAAAGCTGCTGCAAGCCTGGAGTCAGGGTCGCGTTTCTCTGACTTCTCCGGAGTGCATGTCGCCCTCTCTCTCTCCATTTTTTTTCCCGTTGCAAGGTGCTTTATTAGCATGACCGATGGGTACAACTGGTGTTGCCAAAGCAATAAAAAATAACATGAAACAAAAAATAAAATCTACAGACATTTACAACAAAGACATATCATAAAATATTTACATATACTCTAAACATATTGAGCATTATTGGGAGACAGGCTCACTGTTCCTCAGGCTGGGACAGGAGATCACACACTGTATTATTATTATTGGGAGACAGGCTCACTGTTCCTCAGGCTGGGACAGGAGATCACACACTGTATTATTATTATTGAGAGACAGGCTCACTGTTCCTCAGGCTGGGACAGGAGATCACATACCGGACTGTGAGTTCAACTGAGTTCCCTCCTCCCTCTCCCAGTAGGAGTGGGACCTGTTGTGATTCTGGCAGGTGTGGGAACTCGGGGATTCGATTTCTGAATTTCGGGAAGAATGTTTCTCTAATCCCAGAGTATCTGTCACAGTGCAGTAGGAAGTGCACCTCTGTCTCTCTTTCTCCCCGCTGGCAGTGGGAGCACAGCCTGTCCTCTCTGGGCAGCCAGGTCTGCCTGTGTGCCCAGTTTCTATGGCCAGGCTGTGGTCACTGAGCCTGTACTTCGTCAGGGTCTGTTTCTTTTTGCTGTTTCCCCTCTCTCTCTGGTGCGTGCGTACATTCATTCTCCCTGTCTTAACTCCACGTCTCTGCAATTAAACCGCACACACAAGCGTGTGCAAGAACCATCTGACCGGCTCCCGGCTCCCAGGCTAGTGTCTCTTTTTGTAGGATGAGATAAGAAGATAACTCTTTAATTTTTCTTCTCATTTTCTGCGTCATCTGTTCACTGGGCCATCTCTATCAGCTCCCTCCACAAACCCTGAAGTGACGATGTTACAGCACTTCTCTTTCATAAATATGCACGGATAACAAGTGGTATGGAGGCACCATTTACCCTTCAAGGGTAGTTGCTCTGTCTGCTTGATGTGCTGTTTTACAGATTAAGACATGGGAAGTTGCACAAAACACACCTGCTGACCACTAAGTGTAAATTGAGTTTACACACCTGAAACTTCGCCTGTTACTGCCCTTTAGTCATTAGGCTGCCTTCTACTGAGTGTCATTAAAAAGGCTGAGATATTGTACAACAACAGTATGCAACATTAAACCTGGGATACGCAGTCTCATCTGTCGCAAATAAATGGTCTTAATCTCATCTGTACCTCTTGCATACATTAAAAAACTCAGAGGACAATACCTGTCACACAGCAGGAGAAAAAGATTAAATCAAGGTCTCCATCTCCAGAGACTCGGAAATACTATTTTGCAGCTTCCCTGTTTACATAAATGGCCATTTTTGTCACTTTTATACCTGCCAGTGTTCTCCCAGTGGGTGGACAGAAATCTCAGACTACAGGAATTACAAGTACAATATAAGGTATTTTGTACACACGTAAAGTACAAAATATTTAGTGACCTTTACAGGGATGTTAAAGTGATACTGTATATTTCAAATACAGATCCTAAACAAGCCCTGATTACACAATGTTGTTTTCAAACGGACGTTTTGCTGGAGGCCAGTTTCATAATCCCAGTGACTTTTACTCATGTACACAAAGTTCCACTGTGAAGAACTTCCTGCACACTTCAGTCTCATACAGTACATCGCATCCTTTTTTATTTAATTTTGCCGTCTTTCAGTCGGTCTCTTTCTAAGTTTTATCTCTTGTATCTCGCCTGTTGAGCTCCCCCTTTGCCCTGCTCTCTCACTCCCCTCCCTCCATCCCATCTTCACTCATGTAGCAGCTCCCTGGCTCATTCCTCGTCCTGTTACTCGTGTTTTCGCTGGCAGGCTGCCTTTCCCTCAAACGGGCAAGTTACGCCAAATAAACCGAACGCATTTCATCTGTATGTTGCAATAATTAGGATTGTAACTACTGAATTGTTATGTTTGCTATAATAAAATATTTAGCAGCCGGTCAAGGATTGGGAGATAACCAGTATTATAAGCAGTTGAGTACTGTTATCAGAAATGGGGTAGAATCTGAAGATTAAGTTCATGGTTCCAAAGACAAGGCAAACAACTGAAGTGAAAGGGGGCATCCTTGATGAATCCCCACAGGAAAAGCAAAGTGAGAGGAACACGTTGCCTATTGACACCATTGCAGACAGGATGGTGTATTCATTTTAAGTATATTAATTAAACCAGATTCCAAACCCATATGATCTAGGACCAACCAACAGGTACAGAGGTTCCACAAAAGACAGTCAAGACCTTCTCAGCCTCCAAGGAGAGAATGTCACCAGGGAGAGGAACTGTCTTGTGTATAATATGGATATAATATTGGTGGCGAATGTTATCATAAGCAAGATGGCCTTTCATAAAACCAGTCCTGATGGGAGAGACCCTTAGCAGAGCTTATGGTTTGGCATCAGGGCAAACCAGACAGAAGGGCCAATAGCTAGAACAAACTTGAGGATCTTTGTCTTTTTTTGCTCCATCGGTGCTGAGTGATTTAACCTTTGTCATGTCCTGAACCACAGGTTGAGATAAATTCAACACTTGTCTTGTTCCGAAAACTGCTTCTCAGCTGTGGGAACACAGAGTTCTAGCTCAGTTTGTGGTATTTAGTACACCTCAAATTCACCGAATCTGGTTTGGCTTCTAACCTGCGTCAGTGTTATAAGCAACTTTTATTCCTGTTTTTGCTCAAGAAGTTACTGCCTTCCTTTTCAAAGCAAATCACTGACATGCAACTAAACAAGTAAGTGAAAGCTTTTCAAATCCTAATGGACAAAGGTGCCATTAGAATTGACCCAGTCAAAAACACAGGAAAGATGAGATATTTTGAAGAGCTTTCTAACAGGCTGTTACCGTCACATGATATTTAATGCTAGCATTCCAAAATACAGAAATATTTTTTAAAAATCACAGGCTATTTAATATATTTTATAGAAGTAGTTCAGGTAACGCAGATAAAAATTCAAGAGTCATCTATGTTTTGCTCCACCTTTATTTGAACGGCCTGTGATGATAAGAACACAGTACCAGGAAGTACCAGCCGGTGTGACTCGGCCAGCTCTGTCTCTGAACACGGTAACCAAGACCAAAAACAACAGCTCCACGGAGGAGTAGGACGAGGTGCTGCTTCTTGGACGGGTCAGTTGTATCACACTGTCAGTACGTCATTTTCCAGGTGTCTCTCTCTCTCTCCTTTGTTTCCTTTCCTGCCCTCCCTCTACCCAAGCCCTGGTCTAAACCGGCTTGGCACCCTGACACATCCTTCAGGTGTGGTAATTGAGTTACAGTACGCCCGAGCTAAGAGGGTGCTCTTCGATCCTGGCTCATTGCCTCCTGGCCCACTGTCTGCACTGGAGGACTCTGATTAGGGTGAAGAAGCAAAACGCACAGGAGAAAGACAAACACACCCTCACTCACACGGTCGTCGGCCACTGCTGTGTATGTCGATTCAATTAATCACAGCCCCTTACCCTTGCTCAGCTGTTGTCGGATGGTGACACGTACGCTCATCATTTATTGGATTGGATATGTTTTTAAAACACTGGACACCCGTGGAAGTTAACGAGATCCAAAATCTCCCATACCCTGCTGTCCCGATAGTGCGCAATGCTCAAGCCCCTTGGTTTGCAAAACACATCCCAGCTGACTTAATACCACTACCTCAGAGGACTCGAGGCCACAGCGCTTTCGTCTGTGGTCCTTAAGTGGTGAGCGTTGAAGTTCGTACTGCGTTTTGGATTGTATACGTTTTTAAACACTGAACGCCCCTAGAGTTAACAAAACCAAACCCTAGCTGTTTGCCTCAACCAAGGAACTCCTGTAGGTTACTGAAAATACTAATGTGGTCCAATGTTCCGGAATTCAGTGCCGAGACTGAAGGGGAGATATTTAAGAATTGTGTCGGTCTCGGAGCTGACAAATTTCTTTTGGGACTGTTTCATAATTGTCATATCTGACGGTCATACAACTTCAGCAAGACAACACTTATTTTGCACCTCTAATAAAACACCCCCCCAACATTTCATCACGGTCATCGTTTAATATTCAGAATACTTTTTTTCCCCTGTGTATTTAGGATTGCTGGGCACATTCCTTTAAATTCCGTTACGAAATTCGGAAACTTTTGACCACCCCCCGTCTGAAGAAATACTTAAAAGCACGAATGGCTTTTAAGGAAGCATTTGTGAAACGCAAGGTAACCCTAGCTGGGATTTTTTGTCACCCTCCCAGGCGGGTCTGACCGCAACCGAGACAGTGTTTTTCCACCGAGCCAAAGGCTGTGTTTCATGTCCGGCTCCTTGCAGCACATGGAGCGGACCAGTGTTCTTCCATGACGAGCTGCCATGGGCCAAACATGGGATCTGTGCCAACGGGTCAGGATTACCGATACAGTGTGATGTCACAGAGTTCAGGCTGCCTGCAGGCTATAAATACGACCGCAGCTTGGGACGAGGTTAATTCATTTATGAATTGGGAAAAGCTCATTCTGCGAAACCGCAACACTCTTATCTGTTCGTCTGGATTTGAACATTTGCAGCGATGGAATCAATATCCTCTGGTATGTCATATGTATATATATTATTGCATTTAGTTGTCGCGTATCCTCGGTCCTCTTGCAGGTGTTTAATAATTCAACTTGAACACAGCGCAAAATATTCGAAGTTGTTGTACAGCCAGCGGCAACAGACCACGAAAAATTTTAAATTTCAATTTAGTTTCAATGTCTCTTTACAGGCAAATCTACGTCCTGTTAATATTATATAATAATATTAACATTTGCAATCTTTGCTAGGCGTGGGTATGAGTCGCAGCAATGCCCTAAAACACACAGGGTCACACAGAATCGATGCAATCAAAGACAATCAGTGCAGTTTTTTTTTCTGTCAGGAGGTACATTGATCGATGATGCCTTGTATTATCGCGATATTACTCGCGCAATCAGTATCATTAAACGCAGAACCAGCTTTCAAACACGTTTTTAGGAACCAGTAAAAAAATAAATATTTATATTTGCATTGTAAAATATATAAAGCAACGTGTTTTCTCTTAAAAGTACTGTGATGCCGCACAGGTAAAGAGGTAAGATCTTTTTCTTTTTTAAAAAAAAACCAACCGATTAGAACATATTATTCAATAGTTCCTATTGCTGTAACTCGAGTCCTTAACTGGTGCATTTTGCATGGTTGGTATAAACCGGTGTAAGAAGATGTGAGAGCATGCCTTAATTTTGCACGGGGTATGAAAATATGAAATCTATTACTTTAGAAAAGAAGCTTGAGATACATTTGCATTAACTGATAGTGATAGGAGAGTGCTCAAGTGTCCCCTTTCAGGTGTCCTGATCCGATAGCGAGAAGGATAATTTATGACTAGCTTTTAGCACGCCCCCTGCCGGAGAAAAAATAACTGCTAGTCATCCCTACCGCAGGGGCTTTTAGTATCGAGTCTACTGGCAGGTTACTAGCAGGCTGAGAGACTATACCAAGGGATTTTAGTGCAGTTATACTGTATGCTGGTTTAGTGGGAAAACCTTTGCTAAACTGCATCTGAATCTGTAACAGCTTAACTTCCAGTCTTTAGAAACATGATTTCTTAAGGATTCGTTCATGAAAACTGACATAGCTCCAGAGATTTCCCAACCTTAGATTAAGGCGGGTAATTGAATATTAACGTTCGTAACTGGCACATTTCCTTGTCCTTATCCTCCCCCTCTAAAATTCAGAGCAGGTGGAAGGCTTTATTTCCTGCGTTAAAAATAAAAATAGAGTGTCCATTCTAAAAGACAGCATGGCAGGTTCTGGAGTCAGGGGGAAAGATCCAGTTTAAGGCTAGAAAGACCATTTCAAGGTGGAAAGGACAACCCTAACTTGTCATTTATGAACCCCACAGGAACCAAATATGAAGTGTTAGAATTCTTTTATATCTCATGGGAAGCATTATTGGGGGGGGGGAGGGAAATGACTGTTGAAATGAAAACAACAACATAAACAGAAATTGATACAAAATGATAAAACTCCTTTTACCCGAGTCTGGGTAAGACTGGCTAGGAGCCAGAACCCCAGTGGTTGTCCTAGCACTGTTTCCGACATTAGAACTTATTTTTTTACAGTAAACTCATGAGACGAGGCAATGAGAATACAATCCACATAAAATAAATCACCTAAAAAATGAAGCACGTCTTATATTTTCAATAATACTGTAACTACCATTTAGACCAGCTAGTGATTTGCACACAGTGAATGGCATTACTCTGTGTGTGGGAACTAACGCTTTTCACAGATTTACATTTTCTTACCCACATCTTTTAAATATTTAACATACTGTATGTATAGCCAGAGGTGTTTACACAACCTGTCTTTTAGACTGTACGATGTTTTTTGGACAATAAATTGCTATGTAATGCTACCATTGAACACTGGATCTCTGTGGTTACAGGATGAATGGATCTTTACTTGCTTTGAAACTTTAGACTGAAAACTTTAAAAAAACCTAGGGAAAGTGCTAGTCATCAGTTTTCAGTACTACACAATTTCGTATCATACTGTAATTTAAGATTGGAAAACATTCTATGATCCTAGGTTTCTTTAACTTGTACCAAGGTTGTACTCTCACTGAAGATGAAATATTTGAAGACTGTCAGTTACACGTTTGGGTAATATGGCCGCCTGGTTGAGTGTTCATTGTTGGAAGCTGTTCAACACCAACAGTAACATGATCGTTCTGCACCACTTGGTCACGTACAAATCAATTAGCCCTGTTTGAGTTGCTGTGCATTTTTGCTGGCATTTCAGGCACATTGTTCAGTAATCTCCTCTCAACTAGGTGATCTCAATAAATCCCCGTTTGCTTATTTTACAAAGCTTAAAAGAGGAAAGTGTGTTTCGCCTTTCCCCTGCTTTAACCATCAGTCTGAAAGTAGCAAACACATCTATTACGTGATTGAATGATAGGCTCCAAACACTCTAAATTCTTTTGTTAAAACAATTCTATGTGTCACTCATTAAAGTTACTAGGGATTTTATTCCCCTTCATGAACAAAGGCGTGTTGGAAGATGGGATATGTTACAGGCTACGATTCTGCTCTGGTCTGCTGTGGTGTAAATGGAGCCACAGAAGACAGTGGGGTATTAGAAGAATATAGAAGTTGGATTTTTTTCTGGCAGAGAGCAATGCTGATAGCATCAGTCCAGTGAAGAACGCCGTCCTGGTGGATGGTGTGTTTCTGAACGGCCCGATACTGGACAGCAGGGCTGGGCAGCAGTTTGTGATGGAGGCCCTTCCTCTCATCGTGGAAGAGGCTATCCAGAAGGCAACAGACGTCAACGAAAAGGTGAGGCCAGTCTGAGTGAAACGGAAGCCGCCAGTGTAGAATGATAAACTGTCAGATAATTTAAAAGTCAGGGTTATCCACCCACTAATGCTGTCCCACATGACCTGCACTCCAGTGCCTTGGTGTTTTGTGACTCGTGTTTAAGAGGCTGCACATTTTAATTACACTTGGTTTCCAAGTTTTTAATTGCCTGATGCCACAGCAACAAGTCAGTGATGCAGGTACTCCGGCTAGTATGTTTCAGAGCTGTGCTCCAAGTGTTTTCCACAATACTTAAGTTGGCGGTGTGTTGCTGGAAGAAGACAGCAATCTTTTTTAAACAAGTATCACTGTATTACTCACTTACAATAACACGAGCTACTTTCTTGAATCCGCAAAGGTATCTGTAACCAGAAGGTCAAGCGAGAGACCGGTCCAGCCGTGAGAAGGAACAGTAACAGCCTGTCGTGCTTGTCGTGGTTGAAGACGCGCGTGCTTTCTGCTCTTTCCTGCAAGTGATGTGTTCTGCCTGCCTCTCCCCCCCTCCCCCCCAGGTGTGCGAGTGGCAGCCCCCCGAGCTGCTGAAGCACAGGCTGGACCTGGAGCTGCGGGAGAGAGGGGAGACTCACCAGCAGATCCTGGAGAGATGCCGCGAGGTCATTCGATACAGCGTGAAAACCGGTGAGCTGCAGCCGTCCTCCTAAAGCACTCCAGGCCTCCCCACACACACACACACACACACACACACACACACACGTGGACGCGGCGGGACTTCAGGACAAACCAAAAACAGAAACATCAACATACAGTACAAACATAAGAAGTGGTCTGCTCTGATTTACTATCTCTGAAGGGAAGAGGGAATGCTGGGCTATGTTTATTTATTCTGTCACGCCTCATTTCAGCAAGAATTTTGATTTTTTTCCAACACTTCTCATCCTCCACAGGCCACCCCCGTTTCTTTAACCAGTTGTATGCTGGCCTGGATCCCTACTCGCTGGTTGGTCGTTTCATTACAGAGGCCTTGAATCCCAGCGTGTGAGTACTGGTGTTCAACCCCCCCCCATCTGGGAAAATTGGTAAATTGAGCCTTAAGTCCTTAAGGAAGGCGTTTTCTCAAAAAAGTGACAACGTGGATTATGTCAATGATATGAATGTACAGCAGTATGTTTAGTCAAAATGTTTAACGCCTAGAAAATGGGCCAAAGACATTTCTGGGTGCTGTAAAAAGAAAGACAAAAACCCCAAGATTCTTCAACTGAATCAAACTTTCATTGTTTTTCAGCTTGGATGAATAATTATAGGTTCTCTGTTAACTGAATTTAAAGAACAACATAAAAAAAAAGGTTTTAGTGATCAAAGCACCCCGAAGCAATAACTAATTTTGGAATTGTTAGGTAAAGTGTCTGTATTTAACTCTGTAGCTTTGTCATAGAAGACATTTCTCAGAACTACGTGTTATTCATTTGGTAGGTACACATATGAGGTGTCCCCAGTGTTTGTGTTAATAGAGGAGTCGGTGCTTAAGAAAATGATTGAGTTTGTTGGCTGGGAAGAAGGAGGCGATGGGATGTTCAGTCCAGGTGAGACACTTAATTCTTAATAAAGGTTTAGTAGTTTGGTCAAACTCTAATGTGACGAGGCACCTTCACAGGGATACAGTACTTGAAGTTTCTTTGCGGAGGAAATAGCAACCTGACCCTAAAGGTCGACACTGTCAACACTCTCCCTCACTTTGAGGGGAATGAGCTAGGGAGCAGCTACAAGGGTGAAGATGGGCGGGGTGAGAGTGAAGATATGCAAAGACAGCTCGGGTGGCAAGACAGTTATACGCTGGAGGGGGGAAGAGAATGACATTAAAGTTTGACCTCTGGAATGTCCATTCAGTAATATTCCAGAAATTTCATGAGATCACTTCATGATGAAAAGATCTTGCATCATATGTCTCAATGAGTGATGGTAGCCAGTACCGTTAGCGAACCACTACGTGTTTGATATGGTCATTAACTCACATGGTTGATCTCGGTTTTAATATGTTTTTTAAGGTTGATAAGATTGATTGTTTGCCTTGTAATAAAACTTGGGAAGGCCTCCAAAGTTTTGTCTGGCAGGCCCTTGTTATGTTATCATGCACATGTAACTGTTTTTTTTTT